TGTGAAGAATCAATAAAATATATATATTTTTAAAAGTGTGTGGATTTCCCAACACATAAAACGAAGGTGCTATCCTGTCTAGAGGGTTTACATAGGGGTTCCATAGACCACCCCTGGGATAGAGTTTGGGCTGCCAATTCTGTCGCCAGTGTTTACGCTCTCTCCAAGGTGGACATGTTTTCCTGGTTCTGTTCTGCACCAAGACGATGCTGCCTACAGGCTTTTGAGTGTTGGGAAGGGGGGCGGGGCAGGTACTCTGCTGGTCTCTTCCCTGCAGAATTCGTCTTTCAGGGCCACAGCTTGATGTCCTAGGAGACTCCCCTTTTGGTGGGCCCTGGATTTTGATTTTGCCTTTTGTACTCTGTGAGCTCTTAAAACTTTGCTTGTTTTCACAGCTTAGTTTACTAGGAGAAAAGTGACCTTGATTCTCTCTCGCATTCTCTTAGATTTTGGACTAGAAATTATGTACCATTTTGTAGTTCTTTGATATTTCTATGAGGATTTAAGAAATATATATTCCAGCATTTTAAAATAAACTCTGAACTTCCAGATACTCCATACTCAATTTTCTCTATTATTAACATTTTACAACTATATGGTACATTTGTTACATTACTTATACATTATTACGAGTCAATATTTATATGTTTTTATTAACTAAGCCCATAGTTTATTCAGATTTCTTTAATTTTTGCTTCTTTCTGTTCCAGGATCCCATCCAGTCTAGTGTTACATCCAGTCACTGCGTGTCCTTAGGCTCCGCTTGGCTGTGAGTTTCTCATATTTTCCTTGTTTTTGATGACCTTGGCAGTTTTTAAGGAATGCCAATCAGGTATTTTGCAGAATGTCTTTTCGGATTTGTCAGATATTTTGCCTTTGATTAAACTGAGGTTATATGCTTTAGGGGAGAGGAAGACCACAGATGAGATGCCACTTTTATCACTTCAGACCATGGGGACATGCTCTCAAGATGACTTCCCTCTCTTGGCTGGGGTAGTGTCTGTCAGGTTTCTCCCCTGTGGGTTACTTACAGCTCACACTTAGGAATAGGGACTTATGTGTCCCTTCTTGAGGGCAGAGTATTTATGTGGAACTCTTCTGTATGGGAAATTTCTAGATTCATTTATGTACACTGTGGACTTGTGGAAATGTATTTTATACTTTGGATTATAGTCCAGTCCCACTTTCTCAGATTGCTCCAATTCTGGTCATTTGGAGCTTTTTCATCTGGCTCTGTGTCTCTTTGACATGACCTCATTATTTATTGTTTTGATTTTTGAGCGCTTCCTTACTTTCTGGCACTAGTGTTCTGCAGGCACGTGCTGTTTGTTTCTTATCCCAGCCCTAGAATCAGCCATTTCTCCAGGGAGGCTTGATTCCTTCTATTTTTTAGAAACCTAAAACTACTAGCGTCCTTGCTCTCACCCCTCAATTGACTGTGCAAGGAAATACATATTTATATACACATTAGAGGCCTGGTGTATGTCATGCACTCAGGGTGGGGGTGGTGGTGGTCCCTCAGCCCAGATTGTGAGGGCACAGGCCAGGCCGAGGGACCCCACCGGTGCATGATCGGGGCCAGGAAGAGATGAGGGAGTTTGGCCAGCCGGGGAGGGACTGCAAGAGGGCTCCAGGGCATGTCTAGCCCATCTTGCTCAGTCCCAGCGGCAAGCTAACCTATTTGTTGGAGCGTCTGCCCTCTGGTGGTCAGTGCAAGTCATAGCAAGCAGTTGAGCGGTCTTAGCATATCATTAGCATATTACACTTTGATTGATTGAACAGACAACCAGATGACCGAATACTTAGCATATTAGATAGGATAACTAGAAATAGTCCTGTATAAAATCCTCTATATCAAGCTAAATATCAAGTTGGAGACACCAGTTCATCCTGGTGTCTCCAACTGTAATTCATTACTGTATGGATCATTCCAAACTTCTCCCCTTGCTTATTTGTAACCTCCCACTCTTAACAGTGAGAAACCTGGTGCCCACCATCTGCCATCTGTATCAGTGTTTTCAGTTATTCTCAGCGAGCATTGCTGGAAACTGTTAACTTTCTCCTTTTTAAAGCAAATGGTAGAATATTATACACTGCTCTGCACTTGAGTCTTTTACTGAGCAGACAATATATCTAGGCATTGTTCCTTGCCAGTTCATACAGATCTACCTTATTTTTGAGGACTATATAATATTCAAGTGCTTAATCAGAGGTTATGGATTTTCAAAAATATCACATATTGTCAAATTGCTTTCCAGAGATTGGGCCAATTTATTTTCTCACCATCTGCACAAGTACTTGTTTTCCTAATGCCAGCTGCAAAGGGGAGAGATCAATATCAAAGTTTGATCTTTGCCAAACATGTGAATAGATTATGCTCTGTCAAGCATAACAGATCTCTTTTCCTAACTCTAGAGAGCTAGTCTAGTCTGGAATTTTTACATTTCTATATGAAATTTTTACATTTTTATATAGTCAATTTATCAGTCTTCTAGGATTTTGTTCCATGCCTAGAAAAAAAAAAAAAGTCTTTTCTTCCATGTTTTCTCCTGATACGTTCATGCCTTGTTTTTTAAATCTCAGACATACAAACGGGCACAATGAACACCTATATACATAGCAATGAAGCATTTACTGAGGCGAAGCCCTGACCAACTGCCCTTCTCTCACCTCCCTTCCTCCTGGAACTAACCACTATCCTATCACCTCCCCTGTAGATGTCTTCCGAGTTACTAGTCCACGTGGAGCTGAGTTTGCACTTGAAATGTAAATCTATTTTTAGTTTAGCTGACATTTTTTTAACTTTCCCATGAAGCTGTGCATTTAGACTCTAGTAGTGCATGTGTCTCAGTCAGATGTGCTAAGGCCAGATTAGCTATTACATGGTCCTCTTGTTTTGCATACTTTGAAGTTGATATACATGGTTTCACTGTGCAGGGAGATTTATTTCTGTTGATACCTCCTCTTTTTCGTTGCTGCAGAGTGTGATTTTGATGTGCCTCAAATGTACCTAACAGCAAGAAAATGGTTATTTAGGTTGCTTCCAATACTTTAATAAACATCTTGATAATGGTGTGAAAAATTCTAAGGAGTGGACCTGCTGGGTTGTATATTAAGAGCATCTGTAAACTTACCCAGTTGTTCTGCAATGTGAGGGCCCATTTTCCACATCCTAGATATTAGAAGATCCATTTTTTTTGTTCATTTGATGGGCATAAAATGCAGTATCTCATTGATTTTACTTTGCCAGTGGGGTTGAACATCTTATGTGTAAACCATTCAAGTTTTCTTTTTATATCATTTAGACATTTTTCTTTTGGGGATGTAGTTTCATTTTCAAGCCTCCCCCTCCCCCCCATTTTCAAGCCTTTTGATCCATTTGTAATTGATTGGGTATAGGGGATACAGCTCTCCCCTCCAAGATGACCACTGGCATAATGTATAACCCAATTTATGGTATTTTTATGTATCATTAGCATATAAATCATATATCCTTCAGATTAAGATGTCAGTTCCCCATTCTCCCCCCAAATCAAACTTTCCTAAGAACCAGGTGTTCCTTTCAATACATCTGATATGTGAACGCTGCTTTTCTGTTTACTTCTAGGCATTTTCTCGTCTGATGGCCACAGTTCTCCAGAACAGTGCTAGCAGTGGGCAATGGTGGATGGTGAGTAATCCTGGTGTTTCAATACTTCTGGCTTATTTTTCATGTTATAAAATGAGTTATAAACTGGATGTTAAATTTAATCAAATGGTTATTTCATATCTATAGAGTTGATAGAACTTGTATTTATTGGTTTATAGAATCATCCAACTATTCTTGTATCCAATTCCTTTTTCTTTAGGTGACATAAAATAGAGAAAAGGCCCAGGCAGATAAGCACTAAATAACTACCAAATGAACTTCTTTCTGTCCTATTTCAGTTCAGTTCTATTTTCTATATTAACAATAGGAAGGTAGAATCTGAACAATGTTAGAACCATCTCTCCACTGCTACAGTCTCTGAAATTTCCACTGATGGGAGTCTGAGCCAGGGCAGGAATATTTTATAAATCTTATCACATAAGCAGACCTTCTACCACTCTGCTCTCCAACCACTTACCCCCCTTCCTCTTATCTATACGAGGGCAAAACTGCTCAGAGCTGCAGGCCCTCATGCACATCACCCACCTCTCTCATAGAACAATCAACACCACACTGTGAACTTGTAGAATAGATTTATTTATCTGAAACCATGTCTGTGCAATGCTTGTTACCAGCACAGAAAAAAACTGATCTCTATTTACAGTCTAAAGTCAAACATGCATTGTGATAAATTGACATTTAGCATTTTATTAAGATAAATGCATCACAATATTTGTATTGCACCAACATCTGTCTACTGCTTCTGATTTCATTAAATAAGTTACACTTAATACAGCGCAAAATAGCTGTTTTCACACTCAAAATTTAACAAGTTATGAACTGGAGGCCTACATTTTAACCATTCAACACCTGTAGTGTTCTCAATAAATTTATAAATAAGCAAAAACTGTACAGGGCCAATTAAAAAGTAGCATGTTTCAATGACACTGTAGAGAAATCTGGCTACTTACAACTGAAGGCATGCATTACAATTGATATTGTACATTTATATAAACTATGACATTTTGGACAGAGAAGCATGGAGACTTGGCTGATGGTGTCTAAGTTCTTGGATAAGGTTTCAAAACCTCATTCTTCTTGCAGCAAAGAAACCAAAATTCTCTGGATAGGCTTTCAGATTCATTAAGCTAAGTTGTACATTTGTAATTATTACTTTGATTTAAAAGCTAAAAATCTCATTGGTAATACACATTTCCTCCACATAACACACAATGAGTTGGGGGCTTTTTTCCTACTTTTCTCCCCCCACCCCCAACTTCGATCATGCAGAGGGCTGGTAGGTGTGTTGCTAAAAACGCACATGCACGCAACCGAACACCCTTACATTTCTGCAAAATGGCTTAGGAAGCGGTTACTCCAGTATTGCTGAAAAGGAAAGAAAGAGGAAATCAGCTTTATGAAACACGGGGAGGAAATGTTAGAATAACTACTTAAAACTAAGATTAATAGTGAGAGTTGAAAGAGAATATTCAGCTGGATCTTTAAGATTTTAAGACCAGTGTTTCTGGTAACTGTCTCCGAGTCACTGCCCACACAGGGTGGCATTTGGAAACACTGGCTTGGCAACGTAGATCTCTGGTGTCATCTGTCTACATAGCAAAGCTCCCTGGCTGATAGGAGAATCCCACCAGGCAGGCGCTTAATCGCTTCAGGTGTAACAGGGCAAGAGAAGGAACGGTTTTCAGTTAGCAGTGCAGGGTCATGAAGCAGACAGAAGTGAGCAGTGTGGCAATCAGCGCCAAGCCTCTAGCTTTCTCCTCCCCATCCCTCCCCAGGGGCAGGCCCAGCCATGCCTGGTCTCAAGACAAAATTCTGTACTCAGCTGCTTATCACCATTCCCTTACAAGAAAGAAGCCTGGTGGCTTTGACATAATTTGGTGGTTAAATTTAAAAGGCAATGGCCACTTAGCTCAGTAGATGCAGCAGGCTCTGGGCTGTGGTAGGTGCTTGGCAGACACTGAGCTATCGCTTGTGGCCTCATACTGCGGAGGGATGCCTACCACAGACATCAGGGGGCAGTGACCCAGCTTGAGAGTGATGTGGTAGCAGCTGCTTGTGAGGGAGGCTGGCAGTTGCCTTGCTTGTCTTTGGGCTCACACTCTTCTGATTGAACATGAACATATTATCTGTATTTTAAATGCAGAACAAGCTGCTGGAGTGGTGCCCCAGGAATGGGATGGATGTGTGAGATTGTCATCTTCTGGGCAAAGCTGTATCTGAAAGGCCAGGTGAGCATGGAGTGGCAAAAAGCAGACACTAATGGGATGGGCCGCAGGCCATAGGGAAAGTGTTTCAGGCAGGAACTGCCTGGCGACACCTGCATGGTGGGTCTGAGGAGGATGCTGCCCCATCCAATTACTGATGGCGGCAAAAGCAGTGTCTTCCTGTTCGGTGAAGAGGGGACTGGGTGGCTGCCACTCACTGCAAGATGGAGACCTGAAGCCATGGATGTGCCCACAGCAACACAATTGCTGAGGTGGCCTGATTTGGAGCAAACACAGGGACTCAGCTGTCTGGGTTGAAGGAAGTGGGTGCCCAAACCACCTTTGTGGGCGGGAAGGGCCTGAAGCTCAGAAACCACCAGGGCCACCTGGGGCTGTGCCTGTCTCCTACAGCAGCCCACAGCACTCGGCTCACTTTGTAAAGGCCACTAAATCAAGGAACTGAGTCAGTGAAAGTTGACTGGTTGGTTTGGTTTCCATTGAATAACACACCACCCAACAAGCTCGGACATCCTGTTTTGGTTTGTAGCCAAGGCACACTCCTGGCATTTGATCCCACTTGGCCCCTTTCTTTTTACCACTCATGATGCTAAAATGGGTAAAACTACCCCCCCTACATTATTTGCCAAGCAAACCAACCTCCCTTCTCAGCATTCAGTCAGTCTCCACATCCACCTCCTCACACACAGACCTCTGGATTTGGCAGCAGCACCCCCTCGTCCTGCTGATACTTAACTTTCCCCCGAAACGGCCAGCACTACATCTTCTGGTCTAGCAACCAGGGCCCAAACACCTTCACAAGAACACTCAGGGCCTCACAGGGAGGAAGCTGCCACCCACTGAACACAAGGTGCTTCCTAGGCCTCCTTCATCCGCTAACAAGGCTGGCGGGCTGCTGGCCAAGCAGAGCCCTACCCTACTAACGCTTGAATGTACCCTGCAGAGAGAAGACAAGTCTCAGCTGCAAAGGATGTGACCCAGAAGAGGAGGAAAAGTGGTCTATTTAAGAGGAACCTATGGATTCGTGAGTTCACTGATTAAGTTACTTGCTTTTACTAGCTTTTGCTTTTTAATGAACCAAGTTCTGGGATGAGTCCTTGCAGCTAACAAAGATCAAAAGAACCACAACTTTTTGTGAGCACAAGCAAAGGCACAGCTCCCTCACAAAGGCTCAGTCTCACAAAATCAGAACAGGTTTCTATTCCTCCAGGCCCTCCCCAACGAACATCTGGCTATGCCACTATCCGAGACAGCTGGTAGCACACACATGCCCCCTGCTCTCAGGGAGAGCCACAGAGCACAGCAGTGCCTGACACATGGGGCTTGTTCACTAGTGTCACACAGCTAGCTCAATTGGTAGCAGTCACTTTCAGGTTAAAGCATCTACATTTCAGGGAATACTCACATTAGTTGATGGATGTTGGAAGGCATTGGAGGAAAACACCACAGTTAGGACTGTTAATGACTTATACACTGTTGGTAAGACTGATCTGGAACATGCATCATAGTATGGTGGTGGTGGTTAGTGCCACATTCAAATAAAAATAGTTCTATACAATATGTTCATTTGGTCATGTGCTATTTACAGATTTTACAAAACACATACACGCACATATACATACACACATTTGCCCTTATGTTCTCTACACCAGGCCAGCAGAAACTTGCATAAAATGTGTCACAGAAGACAGTGCCTATACATTAAAAAATAAAATTCTTACAACTACCTCTGCAGCAGAACAGGATCCTTCTTCCCTGGGAGTACAGTAAAACTAAAGGTCTGAGCTAAGAACTTAAGAGAAAGTTGATAGTTCAAGCTAGGCCACTTAGGAGTTAAAAACAAGGCAGTTATTTTTCTGTCCATTTAAAATGTTTTATTTTTTAAACTAGATTGTGAAGTGCCACTGAAATAGGCAACGTTGGCAAAGCAATGTCTGTTACAATAAAATACACTAGACATTTAAATAAATAACCTTAAAAACTATCTGAGGGGACATGAACCCAATCGAATCTGGAACAATGTTTTCTGCACAAGCGAGAACAGGCATACCTCTTATTAAGACTGATGTAAACAGAACCATCGAAATCCTACGGAGAAGCAGCCGAGCAGTGTGGGACCAGGGCCGAGAGTGGGGAGGGGTGGAGGTGAACCAAGAAGGGTGAGGGAGTGGCAAACCAAAAAATACTGACTGAGGTAGCAGTACTCTGCCCAGTGCAGAAAAATTGGCTTATGAATAAAAATTAGACTGTGATCTTAGATTAAATCCAGATGATCATGCAAAAGACACAATACATGCTATATCATTTTAGAAAAAAACTCCACACACATTCATTTCCTAAAATCTGCTGCCAATTAATTTGCTGACAATGTCTGCTGGCTCAACATTTTTTTTTTTTATACAAGGATGAGTATTAAACAGAACACTGTACATGCTTTGTCATCTACAAAAAAATATTTGCATAAAATAGTGTTAGTTCTCTGTACATGTCAATGGACACTTTAATTATGTGTATAAAAAAAGGAAAATCTTGCCCCACTGGAGTCAGAAAAAGCAAAACAAAATCTAGAGTATGAAACCTCTTCACCAGCCAATATGTTCATGTGAAAATTCAGCAGAAATAGACAGTTGCTTTAAACAATAAAAAAAAAAATTGATTAAGTTAAAACATCTTCTTTATGTAAAATTGTCAGTCAAGACCAGAACATATCACTAAAGTTAGTGTCTGTGCTATACACCCAGATCACCAGGGGCATTGCGAACAGCACAAATGGCCAGGAAATCCCATCGGTGCATGCGGAGAACGAGCAGGATTTGGTGGTAGGCTGCACACACTCTTTACCAGGTTCCAGGTAGTTGCGGGCCACAAACTTAAGTGTCTCGTCCATTAAAATCACAGGCAAGGACATTTTCAGCACCATTAGCCACTGGGTCAAATTCAGCGGTGTGATCTGGAAGATAAGCTGAAACACAGAAGCCTTGTCAAGCCCCAGCCTTGCTGAAGAGGCAACCAGTCCCCAGCCTAGGTCCCACCACTACTTACTGGCAAGGGTTCCACATAGAGGATTAGGAAGTGGAGTGACATGGACAGGCAGATGGAGCCCACGAGCCAGATATTCTCCCAAGGGGGCATCCTCAGCAGAGATTGGTTTTCAGACAAGCTAAACAAGGAGAGAGGTAAAGAGGCCCTTGTCACAAGTGACAGATTGTTCAGAAATAATGCTTCAATAAGCAGCGGCTAACTTGGCATTATCCTCTGACTAAAGTTTTTAATGTAGCAAAGTTAATATCCAGATGTAGAACAATCTTCCAATTTAAAATCTAGGCTTTGGTCTCAAAATTGCTCAATTGCCCTCAACATTTAGGCTATTTCTGAAATTTCCACTTTTGTCACTGGCTTAATTGAATGATACCTTTGGTTGCAATGCTAAAGGGAAAAAGCTCCTTCCTTCCCTGAGCACACTGGCATACAGGCGTCCTCCCTATCTCTTAGAACAAACACATGGCTGAGCACTTCCACTACTTCCTGGAGATGATGGCTCACACTTTGGGAGCAGGTGTTGCTTGTTCTTTCTTTTTGGGAAGGAAGAGCTTTCCTGTGACCCTCAGCAATGACACACACGACACACAATCACACAGCGCCCTTCTGTCCGAGCTTCACCCAGCTTGCCAAGAGGATTCACTGACCTGTTGAGGGCGTTACACATCTCTATGGTTACTAGAACAGAGAGGGCCATTGTCATTGGGTACGGGGATTCAAAGATTGCACAATCCACACCTTCAAAGTCCGGGTTGTCCTCTTTACACTGTAGGAAATGACTCTGCAACAAAAGCCCAATGGTCAGCCAAGGACAATTCCTAAGTCCATGTACCAAGTCCACAACATATCCACACAAGACTTTGACCCCATTTTCCAGAAAAGCCAGGTTCTTCAGAATAATCTTTTGATGCAACTGCAGATTGAGTCTTGCACCCTCTGCACCCGAGGCACCGAAATGAAGATGGCTACATACCAGCTGGTAGAAGGACACTCTTGGACCGCCATCAGCAGCAACGAACCACCACGCAGCAGCACCCACAGTAGCAGCGCCAACATAACCTGGGAACAAACGTCACGACAGTGACACAGGTTTGCAGCCTGCAGCATTCACTGTAGCTGTTGCCTCGTGATCCATTCACCAGGACAGATGAAAGACAAGGTATGTCAACGATAACTGAAACGCCTGTGCAAAAGCAGCTGAACCGAGGCTTCTGCAAGGAGAGGGGTCTGTGGTCCAGAAGAACCAGGCAGTCAGTTTGTGAGGAATTGGTTCTACTGATTTGGTAGTAGGACCTTTACCATAGCCATGCCCTTCTCTAGTCCACTGCCAATACACAGTAAGGCTGCAGTGTGGTAGGACCAGATCACACCATCCATGACTTTTAGGCAAACTGATACTCTCAGTTGTACACTAATGTATATTAATTTGCTCCATCAAAACCCTGGCAGGACTGTTATGTGGAAAGGCTGTTAGAGCACTTAGTTAATGCAGAATACTGAGCAACAGAGCAACACCTGAAGGCAATTATGGGAACCACTCCCTATTACTTTTTAATTCAAGTTTGTTAAACAGAATAAGAGAATGTACCACTGTGGTAGCAGCCACCAAAAGATACAAGTGCACCCACCCTCTTACCCACCTATTATACCAGGCAGTAGGCAGCTGGTGCCCAGAGATAAGGCAGCTAGCTACACAGGCACTGAGGCAGGGATCACCCAGCATCGGAAGAAATACAAAAGGACAAAGCTCAGCACACAAGGGCTGTGCAGCATGCCATCGCTTAAGAAGATAAAGACAAAATCTGTTTGCTAGAGCCTCTCTGGAAGGGCATCTGAGAAACTGTTACCATTGGAGGGGAAATGACAGGCCAAGAGATTGCCCACTTTATGCCAGGGTGTGCTTTTTGAATTTTAAAGTCACCTTCCTATGGAACCCTAGGGAAGTTAACCAACCTCTTTGGGACTCCCTTTCCTAACCCATGAAATGGGGAAGAGAACCAGAATCAGGAGGAGGCAGTCTACAGAGGTGACATCTGGAGAAGAGTCTGACCTGTGGCTGAGGTCCATGCATTCATTTACCAACCACATTATGCTAATGAGCACACGTCTTCATTCTTATTGTCTTAGTGATGCAAGGCCTGAGTAGTCCCTTCGTCCATAGGTTAAATCTGAAAACCTCACAAAGATCTAGGCAGGATGAAGATGCTAAAACAGGGACTAAATTTACTGTAAATTGAGTAGCAAAATGTGCTTTTAAGGAATGAATTTACAAAATTTTGGCTCACAAACGTTTTGTTTATAAATTAATATAAAATTACTCACAGCCAATAGCCAGGTAACGGAAAAAGAGCCATCCACTGATCAGTGGTTCCTTTGGGTTCCGGGGTGGTTTATTCATGATGTCCAGATCAGGAGGGTTGAATCCCAATGCAGTGGCAGGCAGGCCATCTGTCACCAGATTGACCCAGAGGAGCTGGACAGGAATCAAAGCCTCAGGAAATCCAAGGGCTGCTGTCAGGAAAATACTGTTTCCACCCAAGGAAAAAGAGAAACATCCCAAATTAGGTCACTATTCAAATAGCATCACCATGCCCGACTCCTCCATAAAAATTAATGGACAGCAACAATGGATACTTGGAATAACTTCATCTTGACGGGACCTCCCACCACATGCTCAGAGACCAAAGCTACTGCTATAGGAAAAACAAATCTGGAAAACTGGATACAATCTACACTAATAAAAGAGAAACACAAATTAACCACCACTCTGCTATGCCCACCAGCCAATCAAAGATGGCGGTTAATTTGCATACACAGACAAGGAGCCAAGACTGAAGGCAGTGTACAAGGAAGAGGGAGGGAAAGAGGAAAGGGGGGTGAGGGTGGCAGCAGGAGAGAAAGTGCAGGGAGGTGGTGGGTTAGCGGGCTTTGCTCAGGCCCCAGGAAGCTCTGTTCCTACAGGAATCTTCCTACAACGGGCCTCTAGTTTTAGATAAAGGAACCCAAGTGATTGTCTTATGACCTACCAGACAACTTCCCCCACGTTTGATGAGATGAGGTAGCGGATGAACTGCTTCATGTTGTTGTAAATTGCCCGCCCCTCCTCCACCGCTGCCACGATGGTGGAGAAGTTGTCGTCGGCCAGGATCATCTCGGAGGCAGTTTTAGCCACTGCGGTTCCAGAACCCATGGCAATGCCGATCTCTGCTTTCTTCAGAGCAGGAGCATCATTCACACCATCCCCAGTCTGAAAGGGAATCCGATGTCACTAAGTACTTCCCTCGTGACTGAAGATACTGATTCAGAAGGTACTGTGGGTTGTACTATTCTACAATCTTCCCTGTATGCACGCCACCTACTAGTCAACAGAATCCTAGAGAAACAGCCCAGATCATGACAAAAACCAGGGAATTACTAAATATTTAATGGTCAAAATTTGTACTCACCATAGCTGTAATCTCATCAAGAGACTGAAGGAATTCTACGATTTTAGACTTGTGGGAAGGCTCAACTCGAGCAAAACAGCGGGCATTCAAACAGGCATCTCTCTGTTGTGACAGACTGAGCTCGTCAAACTCCCGACCTGTAAACGCCTTTAACGTCACATCCTCGTCCTGCGTGAAGATGCCGATGCGACGACAGATGGCCACAGCAGTGCCCTTGTTGTCCCCCGTGATCATGATGACCCGGATGCCTGCCTGCCGGCACAGCTTCACAGAAGAGGCCACTTCAAGTCTCGGAGGGTCCAGCATCCCCACACAGCCAACGAAAGTCAAATTGGTCTGCACAAAAGATAATCACCTTATCTTGAAACAGGAAGATGTTTTTTCCCTAGTGAGAAACAGGACTACTTATACATTATTAGCAAAGGTTTCTTCTGCATTTTTCTTATGCCAAAGCCTATACCTTCGATTCTTATCTAAGATTAATATTCATACTTCACAGATATAAATCCAATGAAGAACAGTATTAATTCCAGTTAACAGGAAACAAATACATTGCTACGTTTTTGTTATCAAATCATTCCTTAACTTTTGTAAGGACAATATTCTGAAATGAGGGGGAAAAGCATTCTGAGGAATAGGCATTGCGACAGTGGCCATTTTAGTGCCCCACAGCACCAAAGCTTGTTCCTCTATTCAATGCACCAGGAAGCCACATTACTGATACAACCTGGGTATTTTGACCTTTTGCTAATGAATGTTTTTGTTAAAAAGGCATGCTCTCTCCAAGGAGCATGCCCTTGCCATTCCCTTCCCCCTCTTCTTCCCAACAAGTAAAAAAAATTCCCAATTTTTAAAATATCTTAATTTACATGCGAGTTGCAAAATAGGTTTTATAAGTTTATCAAGTCTTGATAATTCTACTTTGTAAGTAAAAACTTGTATTATATGTTTGAAGCAGCAACCTAAATTATAATAGTGATGTATTTGGCCAGCAGAAAAATAACCACACCTCTTTCTTGGCAAGACACATTTGACCTTTTACCAAAGAGTGTTGTTTAAACACAATGAATGTGCAGGGTGTGGGTGAAGAAACTTTTCATTAGCTAACCTCATATTTAATAAAGTTGGCAGAGTCCTCAAGCTTCATTTCTTCTCTTCTCAGTGGGTTGTCATGAGTGGCCAGAGCCAAACATCGCAGTGTGTCGCTGCCACTTCCCCAATCCCGAATGACGGCCATGATCTTCTGCTTAACTCCAGGGGTCATAGGTACTTTTGTACTTCCAACTCGAATGTGGGTGCACCTGTCAATGACACCTTCGGGAGCGCCCTGGAAAAACGTTACAGATTTAGGTCAACAATTTTATTTACTGGCTCATCCAGGATCCTAATCCTAGCAAGAACATCTCAATTGCACCCTGCTATACTTGCCTTCACAAACATCTTGCTCATCGACGTCCGGCTTGGCTTGTTTGGTGTACAATAAACTGACATTGATTTTCTATCGCGTGAAAACTCGAGAGTAAATTCTTTTTTCATCAACTGTTTAATGACCTATGAGGAGAACATATATAAAATGCCATTGGATGATGATTTCTATAAATTTTTCACTTATTCAACAAATGTTCATTAGGCACCCATTATGTGACAGGCACTGGGACAGATAGAGCAAGGCACAATAACAAAACATGCAGTCCTGCCCTCATTTGTGGTCATTACAGCAAACACACCACCTTTAAGCTCCATAAAGTAAGCTCCATTACTTCCCTTCATTGAGTAGTTACACGTTTGGAATTACACTACTCTAAACCTCAGTCTCTGAAGCTGAGGGGATTCAGTCACACAACATGGCTTTGCACCCTCCACCAGTCACCACACCAATTCCTTGGAATGCTAAGCTAGCTTCGCAGTTATGAGTAATTCTGCTTGCACACAACATATTACTGTTTTCATATATTACTAGACTTGATTTGAAGATTCAGTGTTGTCACTCTATCTCTATTATTTATTAAATATATTAGTTTGGGCCCTGGCCAGCTAGCTCAGTTGGTTAGAGCATCATCCTGAAATACCAAAGGTTATGGATTCAATCCTGGTCAGGGCACATACAAGAATCAACCAATGGATGCATAAATAAATGGAACAACAAAATTGATGTTTCTCTCTCTCCCCATATTAATTAGTTTGCTTCCTTTTTCTTGGCATGTTAAGGTCAGTTTTTGGTATCCCTAGCCTCGTCAAATGAGTGTTTCCCTTTTACTTTTTTCTCAAAGTCAGATTTCTTAAGTGTCTGACAGAATTCAACCTGGAGAATTTAGGGGGTAGGGGGTGGTGTGTTATTTTAAATTAAATTAAATTAACAGATTCAGGACTATTCCATTTTTGTGTGTGTCAGTTTTAGACAGCTGTGTCCATTCACAGCACTGTGGGAAAAGGCAGACCTCATGGGCACAGATGGTTGCATGTGGAAATTATCTGTTGATTACTTTTATTTTCTTCAGATTTTACCCGAAAGTGAATATGGGAAAGGAGACATTGCAAGTTTGAGGAGGTAAGAGAGATAATTACTTGCCTACAATAAGAGTAAATATGTGGTGTAAGCGATGGGCAGCATGAAAATATAATATACCAAGTTCTAACACTGACCGAGTTGCAGGCATTCGCTCGTTCTACTTTAGAAAGACCCTTCAATTCAGTATCAAATACATTCATCTTCTCTACCAGGCAAGTGAGAGCAGTCTCTGTAGCTTCTCCAACTTTTTCATACGCACTCTTTGCCTGTATTGGTAAAAGACATAGAAAGTAGAAAAAGGGAAAGTAGTAAACAATTTGTCTCCAATAGAAATTTTTCCATGAGGACAACCTGTCCTCCATTACATCATTACTCCGCGGGCCACTTTCATCCTACTCTGGAGCACATGATCCAGATAATAAAAAATGTAACTTAAAGCAAAGGTGTGCATCCCATCTTATTCTATTAATTAGGTTTTCCATTTCCCTTAACTATAAGAAGCCATTAGTTACAGTATTAATATAATTTTTCAAATAGTAATTCCATGTCATTACTTATCTACAGAGTTGATATTGTTTCTGATGGCTTGCTTTTTAGAAACCAAAGGATTTAGCTTACTATTATTCAAAAGAAAGGAAAAAAGGTTTTCTGTTATCAAAACAACCCTCTAAACCTCAGCTTGTCCTCAGGATAGAACACTACCATCTTAAAAAGCGAGATCAACGCCCTATACGTTCAGGAAACGTTCTAGCCTGGGTTTTATTCATTTGCAGCACCAAACCATTAACAAATGAGAACATCACATGCACTAAAACGCTTGGCTAAGTAACTGCTCTGCTGCAGAAGATATGGAAGGCTCTCGGCTTTCTCTGGCTCAGTCATGCTGACTCTGAGAGAGATAGAATCTTGAATGGAAGGGGAAGTAAAATCAGAACCCTACTTTCAAAAGGGAGGAAGGAAGGCTGGATTTTCACCACCCCACCCCACCCTTGACTAGGAACAGTCAGGTCTAGTTTCTCATTTCTGAGGAGGCTTACCTCATTGTAATCCAAAGCAGAGTCATTACAAAGGGCACAAATTGTTGCCAGTTCTACAAGACCATCATATTGATGACATTTCACTGGTTTATCATCTTTATACCTGTCAAAAGAAAAAACACTCCTAGAGCACAGTGTAGTTATCTCTGTTGACCTTTATTTTCTATTTATTTTTAATTTTTAAAAATTTTTTTTAATCCATCTTTATTGTTCATATTATTACAAAGGTTCCTCATTTCTTCCCCCTTCCACCAGGTTCCCACCCCACCCTCCGTCCCCTTCCCCTCCCCCACTGTCCTCATCCATAGGTGCACAGTTTATGTTCAGTCTCTTCCTCCCTCCCTTTCCCCCCGATAGTAAGTCCCTTTTCAGATAGTAAATCAGTTACTTAGCATTTTCTCATATCAATAATACCTCCACATGCCCAAAGATACACTTCACACAAAAGACATTTCCAAATAGGTGTTGACCTTTATTTTCTTAGTTCATGAAATTCCTCCACCACGGGTACCAATAAGAAACAAACCAATCCCACTTAGAAATTTAGGCTTCAAATGGGAGCTCAATAAGATGAAATAAGGTCATTAACTTATAATTTGTGTTTTCTCTTTCAAAGTGTACAAAAATTGCCCTCGCTGGGTAGCTCAGTTGGTTAGAGCATCATCCCAAGGTTGTGAGTTCAATCCCCAGTCAGAGCAAATACAAGAAGCAACCAATGAATGTGTAAAATCAATCCCCCCCACACTTGATATAAAAATAAGGAAAACTGGGCAAAGATTTTTTTTTAAGTGTACAAAAAATTTTCTACTCTAATAGCTGATGCCATGAGCCATGTTCAGAGAGCTGCCTTAACTTTTCTCAACACACTGCAAGTCTTACAAGTACCAAACTGACACAAAGGATCCTTAAAGATAGGAGGGTTTACTCACACTTCTCCAACAGGTGCGTATGTTGATCCACTTATAGTAAATTCATTCAGGGAACAGGTATCACCTTCAACTTTGTCCAGAATGAACATCTACAGAAAGAAAAAAAGTACTTAAGTTATTTAAAAGGTACAAAAAAAAAAAAAATGCTAGAAAAAACACACTCTTTGCTAAGACAAAAAAGCAATTTTAATGAAATATTAATTGAACACCGGAAGTACTGTCCCTTATTCCAACTAGAGACCATTTAAGATTGCCTCTCTCATCCATCTAACAGTCTGAGAAACAGCATCACTGAGGTGCTGGATAAAAACATAGTCAGCAGCAGTGACACTAAAACACCCACATGACCTGGGTACAGGCACCAGGGGCCAGGCTGGGCAGAATTCCAAGTTTCAAACGGCCAGCTGAGGAGGTGTGTATTAGGTAATCCTGCCTTAGGAGCTAAGAATAAAAGTTTGCGGGGGAAAAAAACACACATTTCATAGTTGAATCAACATTCCCTGAGTAAAGATAAATTGTTTCTCTGCTCCTTCCCACTTATTTTTGTTGTGGTAATAGCTCATTTTCCATGAAGCTGCATAACTATATGTGTACAGTAAGGAGGCTGCAGAGCTGAATGAACTTATATTACCAAGACAATACAGACAGAAGCATGCTTAGCTTAGGAAAATTATTATTTTTTTACAGAGAGGAAGGGAGAGGGATAGAGAGTTAGATGAGAGAGAAACATCAATCAGCTGCCTCCTGCACATTCACCACTGGGGATGTGCCCACAACCAAGATACATGCCCTTGACTGGAATCAAACTATTGAGCCAAACAGGTTTCGGCTATGAAAGAATTCTTAATTATATAGATTAGTAAGGTGACAAAAGATAGTTTCTTTTTCCTAAAGAATGTTTTACTGATTTTTAGAGACAGGGGAAAGGAGAAGGGAAGAGAAAGAGAAACATCGAACATCAGTTGGCTGCCACCTGCATGGCCCCTCACCAGGCATAGAGCCTAAAACCTGAGTGTGTGCCAACAGGAAATCGAACCAGTAACCTTTAGGTTCGTGGACAATGCCCAACCAACTGAGCCATAGCAGCCAGGACCAAAAGCTAGTTTCTTAAAGATGAGGTTTTAAAAATTTGCTTTCTAATTATAATTCAGAAGTGCAGTTTGGAAGACTAAGATTTAGATATGTGTTTTCATTGCAGATGGAAACTAAAACCTAAGGGGGGAAAAAAAAGGGGGGGGGGGTGAGGGGGACAAAAACACACAAAGTGATAGATACTTCAACTATACCATGCCAAAATATCTCTGAAACATGAACAAGAATATGATCAAACCAGTTTCAATAGGAACGGTAAACTCACTGAAGAGAGAATCATGTCATGCTTTTTATGTATGTACTAGAGGCCCAGTGCACGAAATTTATGCATGGGGTGTGTGTGGGGGTTGTCCCTCAGCCCAGCCTGCACCCTCTCCAATCTGGGACCCCCTCAAGAAATGTTCGACTGCCCGTTTAGACCCGAGACATCCCTCTCACAATGCAGGACTGACTGCCAACTGCTCACCTGCCTGCCTTCCTGCCTGCCTCTAACTGCTTCTGTCTGCCAGCCTGATCACCCTCTAACCACACCCCTGCCAGCCTTTTTGCCCCCAACTTCTTTCCTCTAACTGCCCTCCCCTGCAGGGTTGATCACCTCCAACTGCCCTCCCTTACAGACCTGGCTCCTCCCAACTGCCCTCCCCTGCTGGCCATCTTGTGTTCACATGGAGGCAGGATCTTTAACCACCTAGGGGCAGCCATCTTGTGTGTTGGAGTGATGGTCAATCTGAATATTACTTTTATTAGATAGGATAGAGGCCTGGTGCATGGGTTGGGGACCAGTTGATTTGCCCTGAAGGGTGTCCCGGATCAGGGTGGGGGTTCCCTTGGGGCATGGGGCAGCCCAAGCAAAGGCCCTGGTATCTGGGATTTATGTATCTTCTACAATTGGAACTTTGTAGCCTGGAGTAGAGGCCTAGGCCTGCCAGAACTGCAGAAGCTTGGCTTCCTCTATTGCCTGGAAAACCCAAGCCTCTCTCCTGCTCTCTGTGGCTGCAGCCATCTTGGTTGGAGTTAATTTGCATACTTGCCCTGATTGGCTGGTGTGCATGGCTTGTGAGTACAGTGGAGTGATGGTTAATTTGCATATTATTCATTAGGTAGGATGTTAATCCTCATCTGTGGATATTTCCCCCCACTGATTTTTAGAGTGTAAGGGAGGGAGGGAGGAAGGCAGGGGAAATTGAACCTATGACCTTTAGGTGTGTGGGACACTCTAACCATTGAGCAACACAAGCTAGGGCCATGTCACACTTTTACACATCTTTTCAGAGCCACCCACCTCATATTCAATAAGAGAATAAAATCTTGATTAAAAAAAATTTTTTTTTTGCCTCACAAGATTTGTTATATATCACATACTTTTAACTTTCAAAAACTTCATTTCAAAAGTATATTAAGAATTAAATCAACCTTGGAACTAAACTAAAACCATGAGTAAAACATACAAATCAAAAAAGTATATAATTGGAGTTAAACCTGTGAGGACTCCTGATAAAAGGCTGTAGTTCAAAAACATGTATCAGCATTTCCAATGAGGAAAAGATTCATTTCCAAGATTACCTAGCAGCAAAGTCAATTTTTCTTTTTATGATAAACAGATAAACACCTTAAAAAGGCTCTTTCTGAAGATGTTTGATATTTTATAGAATAAGAAACAAAGGACCAGCCTGGTTAAAGGATGTGCTCAAGGTTACACAATTATTGAATGGAAGAGAGAGGATTAGGTTTAGCTACCAGTCATTCCTATAAGAAAATCTAACTCACCCCCTCAGAAGTTGTGTGACCCTCAGACATGTCACGGCTTCTTGGAGCCTTAGTTTTCTAACCTTTTTTTTTTTTTTTTTTTAAAGGTATTTTTATTGATTCCAGAAAGGGAGAGGGAGATAGAAACATCAATGATGAGAATCATTCATTGGTGGCTTCCTGCACACTCCCTACTGGGGGGATCAAGCCCACAAGCTGGGCATGCGCCCGTGACCAGATTGAACGTCAGTTTGCTCACCTCTTGAGTGGGATGCTCATGATTGAAATAAAGTCACAAGTGAAAAAATACAGTAACTGCACTAAGTAACAGCAAAGCAATTTGGCAGTATTGTTATTAAACACTGCCATTTATTTAATGAGATGGTTTATAAAAAGTCTATACCAGTCCAAAATATTCTAATACACTCAGAATTGTGCTGCACGTTAACTAAATTTAAATGCACTTTGGTATTTTAGATTTTAAGAAAGCAAACCATTTAGGAACTGCATGATGAAAGTATTCCTAAGTCAAGGGTAGTTACGCAATCCACTGCAAGAAACCTTATAGAATACTGATTAGTGCCAGCTTTTGTGCTGAGGTAGAAAAGAACAAAGAGGTAGGCTGTTTTTTAAATAGAAGAAAACATTTTAAATCAAATCACTTAAGGGAAAAATAAAAGCACAAAAAATTATTATGGACTCTATTTTATACTTAGTTTAAAATCAGATTTGCTGCCAAAACTTTAAAACCAAAATAATTTTTAAAGGTTACAATTGCACACTGCTTGCTTTTATGGATAGAAAGTCTATTCTGAGGAATCTAAAGCTTTCAGGCTAAATTTAAAGTTTGCTGGGGGAATACTAAACAGGTAACATGAAATTTCTTTTCTCTCCCTCAAATTATTAGCTTTTAGGCAACTTGCTTTTAGCCTATTTGCCCAAACTTTTCTGGTTCCAAGGAACAAGAACTTAGGTAGCTCAAACTCTGCATCTATAAGAGGAACCCCTGTCAAACTAGGAAGCTTACCACGTGAGAGACAGAACACCTCAATCTGTTTTAAACATGTCCATTCATTCTACACTTGGGTTTGGACTACAGAAAAGAGTCAGTATCTGTATCTAAATATAATCATCAACTTAAATTTGACAAGATAAAGATCCAGAGGGTTTAACTGTATTAAAACAAAAACAATTTCCAATGCTAAAGAAGTATTTTTCAAAACCTGGACATAAGACCAAGAGGATAACCACATGTCCTTCCTTTCAGTGTCACTCAGAGGCATTACCTAACGTGCCCATTCAAAGATTCCGTGTTCTAGAAAACTTAAGTGTTTCAGTAAGCTATTTATTAATAAGGCCTCATGTTATGTAAAGTTATGGATTTGTGGCCTGTAGAAAATATAACATAGTAGTTTTATTGTCCCAAGGAATATTAACCAGTTTTTGTAATATAACCTATAGCAATTCTAATCTTGAGCACTTCCTCAAATGCTCTTGGTAAACCGTTTGACCATCTTAATGATTCCTTCATTAATTAATGAGCCAGATAGAATCTTTGACATGTCCACTAAATATCTGAGTTGTACACCTTTTGGAAAATTATACTTTCACTTCTACAATATTGTTGACATAAAATTTATTTAGTTCTTATTTTTCTAAGAGCAGGTTTGAATAATTTTTTTCAAGTGATTGTGAGACAACCTAAGAAAGGAAGGATAAAAGAAAATAAAGTGAAAGGTAATTATTTACTTTTCAAGAAGAAAGCATGTCTCATTCAGTGTGTAATAGAAATATTCAATTAGAACTTTAAGTAGGTAGGTAACTAGCCACTTTATAGAACGCTCTTCCTTTGAAGCTTATCTGTTAATATGCATATTCTTGAGGAGCAGGGAAATAAACTGACATTTAGACTGCCTACAGTTATTCCTTCGATACATGTATATCAGCCATACAGATATCCTTTACTTCATGAAATAGTTTTAGAAATTAAATGATTAATTTCCTCTGGAGTATTAGAAATTACTTTGGGCTCACACAACCCAATCTGTTTAAGGCACATAAAAAGGGATCAAATTATAAGATTTGATGGCACAGGGGGCATATTCTTAGGATGAATAAACAATTAGCAGGAAAGGTTCTTAAATTACTCCCACTTACCCTGCAGACTGACATCTGGTTTGTTGTAAGTGTACCGGTCTTGTCTGAGCAGATCACAGAAGTACAGCCAAGAGTTTCCACAGAAGGGAGGCTTCGGACAATGGCGTTTTTCTTTGCCATTCTGCGAGTTCCAAGGGCCAGGCAGGTGGTGATGACAGCGGGCAAACCTTCAGGAATGGCTGCTACAGCCAGGGCCACTGCGATTTTAAAGTAGTAAATGGCACCTCTGATCCAGGAGCCTCCGTGAACTGGGTCGTTGAAGTGCCCAATGTTTATCATCCAAACTGCGATGCAAATAAGGGAGATGACTTTGGAAAGTTGTTCCCCAAACTCATCTAGTTTTTGCTGGAGGGGTGTTCTCTCCTGTTCCGTTGCCACCATTTCATCCCGGATCTTGCCAATTTCAGTGAAAACTCCAGTTGCCACCACAACTCCCATGGCTTTGCCAGCAGCAATGTTTGTACCCTAGGACAGAAACAGAGAACTAGGTTACAATATAATATTAACAACATTCCCAATTTAAATGCTGTAGTAAACTCAGATTGGTGTGGATCTTGAGTAGAGAACCAGCCATCCATAACTCACGAGGCAGTGTGATACATTTCTCCCTGCTGCTCACTTCATGTGGTACCTGCATCCCTATTCACAACACTGAACCTGGCCTGCAGACTAGCTTAGGGCTGGAGCAGGGCTCTAACCCCTCTGAGTTCTCAATTATTTTAAGCTCCATGTAGTTCTAAACCCTAAGCATTCTCTCCACCTCTGGCTCCAACTCAATCACCCCTACTTACATCACCAATTATAAGGGCAACTTCCAGTCCAGCACTGGCATCCCAAAATCAGTGAACTCAAGTATGAGAGCTGTCTCCACACCCCACTAAATTCCTAATGTTAGAATGATACGGCTCCACTGTTTTCACTGTAACTCGAGAGCACTTTACTTACTTACTTTGGGCGTATAAGTTCCCATATGAATACATAAAAGCCCACCACTTGAAATAGTATTTCAATCCAAACAAACTAGAAATTTCCCTACTTTTTATTTTTGGGGAGAAAAAAATTGAGAGAGTGGAAGGGCGGGGGAGACACACAGCGATTGGCTGCTTCCCAACCAGGGCTGGGGATAGAGCCTACACCAAGGTACATTGCCCTTAACTGGAAATGAACTCGGGACTCTTCAGTCCGAGAGCCAATGCTCTATCCACTAAGCCAGCCTGTCTAGGGCTATTTCAAAAATATTTTGCAGAAAAACTGTAATAGTACAATGAACAGCCATTTGACTTTTCACCCAGACTCACTCATTTTTAATGGTTTGCCACATTTGTTTCTCTCTAAACATGCACCTTTTTATTGTGAATTCGTACAGATACCATCCACATCATCTTTCAAAACATCTTTCTTTTCCAAAGAAATTACTTTACTAGGTTTAAAGATAAAGAATTGAAAGATATCTGACCCGATGTTTTAATTTTAATTCTCAAAAACTTGCCAGTTTAGTACTGGCTGGTGTGGCTCGGTTGGTGAGTGTCATCCCGTGCACCCACGAGTGGCAGGTTCGATCCCTGGTCTAAGCACATAACCAGGTTGTGGGTTCAAACCCTGTTCAGGGTGCATATGGGAAATAACCAATAGATGTCTCTCTGTCTCTCTCCCTCCCTTACTGTCTCTCTAGAATAAAAAATATATCCTCGGGTGAGAATTGAAAAAAGCCTTGCCAATTAAAACAAGACGGCTAGGTCACATATCCCACCATTATGTTTTTCTGACAGCTGAGATTGACCACAAAGACTGTGATTATGTTTTGAAATAAGAGCCAACACTTTCTAAAATACGACCACTGATGGTAGGCAGTGGGGGGAAAAATAACATCAGGAGACTTAAAACTCTTGAGAATGTCTTAAAAAATAAAAAATACTCAAAAGAAACAAATGATAAAGTACTTACAGAAAAGAGCATGTTCTTCTTGTCTTGGTTGACAGCCCGTGGGTCAGGGACGGGGTCAGTGTGCTTGATGACTGAGACAGATTCACCTAAGCATTGTTGAGAGACAGAGGGATGGTTAGATCTGTACAATCCACGCCTGGAACCTGGGAACCTCATCCACTCCTGCCACTGCCTCTCTCAAGAAAAGAGCCAAAAGGGCCAATTCTTTCAAAGAAGGTAAAATAGTAAAATTTAGTAATAGAAATTAATTTCAGAGCAATGTCAGGATTAAAATACATATCATTTCAAAATAAAAGAACTCAATTTTGAAGTAAAATCCCAGCCAATGACCTTTATTTTCTGGGTAACTATATACACACACTCCAATACTTTTTTGTTTTTGTTTTTAAGGTGCAAGTATATTTACTTGCAAGTATATTTACTTTTAGTGGATTGAACACGCTGCAGATACATTATGAATAATGAAGATCACCCACTGGGAAACCTGTTGTTGTTCAGTAATGTCAGAGATGAGAAGTGAAAACACTTTTTTAGAAATATTTGCATGTACTAAACCAGAGTGTTCTACTTCAATAAAACAAAGCTGAAAAATAGCAATCAGCAGTTGCAATTAAAAAAAAAGCACATGGTAGCCCTTGCCAGTGTGCTCAGTAGTTAAGAGTATCAGCCCTAACACCAACGGGTTGCAGGTTCAATTCCCGATGGGGTTGGGGCATGTGCAGGAGGCAACCAGTAGATGTGTCTCTCTCACATGGATGTTTCTCTCCCCGTGCCGCCCTCCTATCCACTCTCTCTAAAATTCAATGGAAAAAATATCCTGGGGTGAGGATTAAAAAAAAAAAAAGCACAAATGTCTAGCTGAATTTGGTTTCAGCTTTACTTAGTAATATTTATAAAATATATAATCAGGTTCTGAGTGAAATATATCTCCAACTGTTCATTCTAATGTCAGGTACTAAACTTCACTATCGATATTTGACCAAAAAATCTGATTCCTCAATCTAGCCTAAAACTATAGTATAAGCATTCAACAAAAATTATTCAAAAAAGTAAGATGTTTTAAAATGGTAATTATTTCTGTAGACCCATTATGAGAATTTCATACATACAACCTAATTTCCCAGCATTTTATGTCTTAATCAACTTCCAGCTTGTTGCTGCTAATGGCAGTTTTAGTAATTAAGCAATTCATAAAGAACCAAAAAATACAGAACCCAGGTTCCTTACATCACCACCTCTATGACATCAGTTGCTTTTCAAAACTGGTCATCAGATAAATCTTGATAATCTTTGGATTTTATATTTATTCTCTATTTAATTCAGGTTAGCATTGTGTTTAAGTTAATCTTCTAACCACCTCACTTCCGGTTAATATGCCCTCCACCCTATTCTGTGCCTTTAGCAAACAAAAATGGGAAAATGTTCCAAACAATCCCAAATCTAAGTGTGCACACTATTTTGGGGGTGCTAACTTCTGTTAATTGTACATTTGATTATTGTAAAGTATGTTAGATTCTAGATTAGCATTCATAGAATGAAAAAAACAAAACAAAACAAAACAAAAACCCATTACAGTTCTAGAGCCCTTTCACCAGCCTTGAAAAAGAAGACTAAATAAATAATTGAGCCCTAGCTAATTTGGCTCAATGGATAAAGCCTTGGCCTGCGGACCAAAGGATCTCAGGTTCAATTCTGGTCAAGGGCATGTACCTTGATTGCAGGATCCTCTCTGGCCTGAGTTGAGGCTCATGTAGGAGGCAACCAATTGATGTGTTTCTCTCACATAGATATTTCTCTTTGTCTTTCCCTTTCTCTCCCTAAAAAAAAAAAATCAATGGGAAAATATTCTCAGGTGAGGATTAACAACAAAATAAAAGAAATTGAACCACTTTCCACAAAACAGACAATACTTCCACTATATGATTAACCTCTGCTAATAAGAGAATTTGTAACTTTTTAAAAATAATAAAAACATTATGGTGATTTTGGGTGAAAACTAATTTTTTATAAAATTAAAAGATAGAGGCCTTAAGATGAAAGCCAAGTTAGTTGTTTTTTTTTTTTTATCACACCTTTAAGCCCCATATATTGGCAACAAGTCTAACAGATAAAAATAAATTGCTTAATGAGTATTAAGATGGGATATCATAAATGAAGAGTGGGGCAAGAGTCGCTGCTGTTAGCATGGTATCTGAGAGGCGTCAGAAATTCAATGGCCTTCCAATACATGACACTTACCTGTGAGGATTGACTGATCAACTCTTAGAGTAGTAGATTTGATGGAAGTTAACCTTATATCAGCAGGAACTTTGTCACCAACTAATTAGGGAGAAAAAAGGCAGCTAAAATAAGCAACTTTTGCAATCATGTTAAATAGAGATAAATATCTCTAAACACAATTTTTAAAGAAAATAGCCTGTATACAGCACAAATGTATAAAAATCTGTTAAAATAAGTAAGACAGTTAACTTACTCTAGGGGGGAAAAAAACTTTTGCTGATAAATATAACATTTGAATTACACAAGAAGGAAAAGAATAAACAGTGCCCAGAACTATGTTCAAAATACTGGACTGCACATCAGTACCAAAAGCAAATGAACAATAAAAATAAATGCACAACAGCTTTCCCTTTCCCTTTCTGAAAGGTAACTAAGGTAAGTTTGGAAGTCTCACACAAGGACAGTAAAAAAATTAGAATGAGTAAGTACAGTAGCCCCTAAACTTGCATATGGTATTTTAAAGTCCAATATTCATTTTCCAGATTTACCCCACACACTGAATTGTAACTGTCACCGGTTATATGCAATCTGCCAAAATAGCCATTCTGTCCAAGATTTATTTCATTTATTAAGCCTTCAACTTTGTCATCCCGTTTACCCCTCCACCCACCCGCATTTCAGAGCTTTTAAATTCAGGGAGAGTAGCCGAAACCGATTTGGCTCAGTGGTAGAGAGTCGGTCTGCGGACTGAAAGGTGGCAGGTTCGATTCCAGTCAAGGGCATGTACATTGGTTGTGGGCACATCTTCAGTAGGGGGTGTGCAAGAGGCAGCTGATGGCAGCTGATCGATGTTTCTCTCTCATCGACGTTTCTAGCTCTCTATCTCTCTCCCTTCCTCTCTGTAAAAAAATCAATAAAATATATATTTTTTAAAAATTCAGGGAGAGTATAATTTGCTTTTTAAACTCCAGCTCATAAAACAACCCTAGGGCCTAGGTAGGTAACATGGTCACAAGGCAGCACGAAGACTGCCAACATATAATCTCAAGAGGCAAAGATCATCCTTGCATTTGACTGCAGGGACACATTAAGTACAGGTAAAACTGCTGCTGGAAATGCTTATGCAACAAATAGCAATATTCAAACCAAATAAGCCAGAACCTCTCATTTTAATGTACTTCTGTTCATGCTATAAAAAAAAAATCCATATCTTAAACTTCAGTGACTTTTAACAGATAAAATGCCCCATCAAGATAAAAATTTTATACCAACATAAACATTTTTTTTTGTGTTATTTCTGGCTATCATTGTATCCTGTATGACCCTGAATATGAAAAGAATACGAGTTCAACGATGAGCACATGATCCTAAATGGAAATTTTACTTGAAAATGTTCTTTGAAATCTGTGGCAATTTACATCACAATCCTATGTAAACAAATTTCATATGAGAGCCCTAGCTCTTATTCTCATAAATCTGCCACATTTAAGTTCAGCAAATCTAATATTCAAATTGAAGATAAATAACAAGAACCAAAAGTACTATCTTGGGCATTTATTTTGCTGTGTTTTAGTGGAAGCTCAAAAAATTTGAAATGGATGGAAAATGTAGTTTTAAGGCAATAAATGCCTAAATTTCTATTTTGGGTAACTCGGTCAACATATTAAGCTATTAGTTTAAGGTGGAATCAATACTATATACAAGGTGTACCGGTTAATAATGGGGATTTTTTTCAATAGATGGAGTTATGGTACACATATGTTGATATATATATATATATGTGATTTGGTATGTTTACTATTTTGTTGTATTGACAGCAAGCTTCAAAATTTCATGTCAAATTTGCTGTAGGTGTTAACATCATAGGTATTTTTATGCTTAAAAATGTCAAATTTCGTGCAAAAAAAAAAGAGCATTTGCGGAAGTTTTAATTCATTACTTTATTTTGAAGAAAAAGTTATCAACCTCAGGAAGCTTATAGTGAATATGCTCCATCTCAAGATACTTGTGAACACTGGTTTAAATGCTTTAGAAGTGATGATTCCGATGTGAAAGACAAAGAACGTCCAAGTCAACTAAAAAAGTTTGAAGACCAACCAAATTACAAGCATTTGAAAGAAGATGCTTGTCAAACTCAAAAACAACTTTCAGTAAGATTAAACATTGCTCAGCAAACAATGTCTGATCATGTACAAGCAATGGGCAAGATTTTAAAGGAAGGAAAATGGGTGCCACATCAACTGAATGACAGACAAATGGAAAACTGAAAAATCATCAGTGAAATGTTGCTTCAATGGCAAGAAAGTCTTTTTTGCATCCAATTGCGACTGGCAATGAAAAATAAATTTATTTTGAGAATCCCAAACACAGAAAATCATGGGTTGATCCATGTCAACCATCAACATTGACTGCAAGGCCTAATTGCTTCGGAAAGAAGACAATGTCCTGCGTTTGGTGGGATCAGGAAGGTGTGGTGTATCATGAGCTTCTAAAACCAGATGAAACTGTTAATACTGATCACTACCCACAACAAATAATTTGAACCATGTTTTGATTGTGGAACGACCAGAATGGGTCAGAAGACACAGCAGAGTAATTTTGCTTCATGATAACGCACCATCACACACTTCAAAACCAGTTAAAGACACGTTAAAAAGTCTTGCCTGGGAAGTATTAACCTACTCGCCATATTCACCAGACCTTGCTCCTTCAGATGACCACTTGTTCCGATTGATGGCACACGCACTTTCTGAGCAGCACTTCAAAATGTATGAAATAGTGGAAGAATGGGTATCTGAATGGTTTGCCTCAAAACAAGAAAAGTTCTACTGGGACGGTACCCACAATTTACCTGAAAGATGGGGGAAACCGTAGCTAGCAATGGACATTACTTTGAATAAAGCATCTTTGATGTTTCTCTTGAAATTATGTTTTCTTTGATTACAAAATCTGTCATTAACCGGTACACCTAGAAGATGCAGCATTAAAAATTATACTGGTGCCCTATCTGGTTTGGCTCAGTAGATAGAGCACTGCTGAAAGGTCCCAGGTTTGATTCCGGTCAATGGCATGTACCTTGGTTGCAGGCACATCTCCAGTAGGAGGTATGCAAGAGGCAGCCGACTGATGTTTCTCTCTCATTGATGTTTCTAGCTCTCTATCCCTCTCCCTTCCTCTCTGTAAAAATTCAATAAAAAATATTTTTAAAAATTATTCTGGTATTATAAAGAAACTAATCTCCCTCTATAGGTCCATTTAAAATATATATATATATTTAAAAAAATATATATATATATATATATTTTTTTTTACAGATTTCAGAGAGGGAGAGGGAGAGAGAAACATCAATGATGAGAGAGTATCACTGAATCAATAGGCTGCCTCCAGCACGCCCCCTACTGGGGATTGAGCTGACAACCTGGACATATGTCCTGACGGGCTCCAACGGCAATCTCCTGATACACAGGTCAAAGCTTCAACCTCTGAGCCACGCTGGCCAGGCATCTGTAGGTCCATTTTAGTAACATAACATGAAGGCTGTCTCTTTCTTGCACAGAAATTACATTGACACAATTGTTAGCCTAATATTTAGGAATGCCTCACATGTCAAATGCTAGTGAAACAAATGACCTAGGAAGCCCTTAAAAAACTAACCTCTATGTTTCTTCCACCGCACAACAGCCATTCTAATCGGGAGGCAATTAAATATTTAAGAATTAAAAGAAAAAGATGATCTAAGGCAGTGGGTGGCAAACTGCGGCTCACTGGGTTTGGGGCTTAATGACAAGGAACAACAGCCAGTAATTATTGGAATTGAGAGTTTAGGTCAGTGGTCGGCAAACTCATTAGTCAACAGAGCAGCAAATAGTAGCTTGTGAGCCTCAGTTTGCCGACCACTGATCTAGAGGCCTTTTCTAAACTACAGAATCTCAGGACCTGCTCAAGAGTTTAGTTCCATGGTCGGCAAACTGCAGCTTGAATGTGGCTCTTCCACAAAATACCACGGCCTGGGCGAGTCTATTTTGAAGAAGTGGCATTAGAAGTTTAAGTTGAAAGAATATGGCTCCAAAAGAAATTTCAATTGTATTGTTGATATTTGGCTCTGTTGACTAATGAGTTTGCTGACCACTGGTCTAGTTCAATGTATTTTGTGCGAGGTCCAAGAATCCACATTTAAAATGTTTTCCAAACACACTATAAAATTAATGTAAGAAAACAAAATCAACTATTCCAGCTCTAGGACAAGAAGACCCAAAGCCCCCCACACTCGGACAACGTACACCTTCCAGTTTTATTCACATTCCTCATTCTGTTGGGAACATCTCTGTGGATAGGTACTAAAGAAGCATAAATCCAAACTGGTCACAGAAACCTGTAATATTCTAGTATTCTCTTAGCTAGAAAACCCCATATCATCTTGACCAGCCATGTCTTCATTTTAGACAGGAAATTAAAGGTAAGAAGTAAAAGGAGTCTTGCCTAAGAAGCCTTAATTAATGAAAGACTTTCTTTAACATGCTGTGTAACTAGCTCTGCTTCATGATTTTGTAAGAGTCTTATTTATGTTTGAATCTATCAGGAAGGTAAGTTCTCTAAGGAAGTAAAAGATCCATGAAAGTAAAGATTCAACAAATACTTTTCAAACTAAGACATAATTTTTCTTTGTCTGTAGGCTTCTGTGAATTTCAGACAGACGGTTTTGTGCGGGAGTAGGCAGTGCTGTTCTGATGATTAAATCCAGTGCTATTTCCCTGATGGGGCAAGTCAATGTCCTTAGGGCAAGTGGTAGTGGAAAATTCTTATTCTTGCCAAGGAGCTGTTCTGCAATTTTTCCTCCAGAACCTTTCTTCTCTGTCTCTTGGGTTCAGCAGTGTAATAAAATAATAAATTCTGTTACAAACCTTCCATTTGACACTTTTCAGATTCAGCCCTTAGCTTCTTAAATCCTTAGATATTTAACCTGCTATCACAAAAGAGATCTACTCTGGACAAAATCTTCAATGTATACTTTATGCTAGTTTACCAAGAATGCAAATAAAAGTTAAAGAAAATTATTACTTTGTCATATTTTAGAATTGAACATAAGCTTTATCTTAAAA